GTGGTCGACGGAGGTGCGAGGGCGTACGCGCGACGGAGGAAACGCAGAGACTACTAGATAGACAACGGTGAAACATACAAGTGCCGCGTTAAGGGAAAATAGGGAAAATATGCGAGCCGATCGGGAGGAGGCAACGTTAGACCGTCGTACCTCGTAGAAGAGATAGAGAGGTGGGAGAGACCGACGTACGTGTGCGGTCAGAGGTGGTGCACGATACCGCGTGTAGGCGGGGAGATCGTCGGCGGAGGTGTGGAAGAGAGCTGGCCCCTCAGGTTACCGCGCCGCGCGCGAGCCGCGATTACCGCGCAGTGTGCGAATCCGCTCCGTTCCGTTCCGCTCCGATTATCGTCCGGGTGGAGAGATCTCAGACACGTCGCGAGCGCGTTGCAGTGGTAGTAACCCTGACCTGACCCCCCGCATACGACACCACGTTACGTCCCTCTCGGGCGCGGGCTCGCCGCGCGCTCCGCGTAGTCCGCGTATCGTCACATTCGTCACAGTGTCCACGCGAGGTTCACGGTGTGCGCGCGCGCGTGCAATAAACCACATCGACGAGCCCCGTCCGTGCCGAGCGTCAGCGTACCTCACGTACGTAAAACGGAGCTTATCGGTGATCGATCGATCGCGCGCGTGCGACAGACGATTCGCCGCGACGCGGATACGCGGGATACGCGGAACAATCGGCGGCGATCGGCGACGACGACACGTCGTCGAGGAAGTAGCGCACGACGATTGTCAGCTTCGCGAGTACGAATCCTATCTCGAATCGTCATCCTCGAAATCAGCCACCTTCCTTCACTCGCCCGCGCCGCCCCGCCGCGCCACCCGGGGGAAAACTGCGAGTCGAGTGTGATAGCCGGAATCGCGGAGTCGCTGGCGATCGCCACGCGAAGGACGTGAATCGGTTTCGTTTCGTCGGGCCGTGAAACGGGGTGGTGAAACGTATCGCGTATATATACGCTATATACACGTTCTTCCCTCCCGCCCTCTTCCCTCCCGTCCTCCAACGCCTCCGCCTCCGCCTCCGCCTCCGCCTCCACCTCCGCGATACGATCCGCGGAGCGACCTCGTATCCGTAGTCGCGTGTGTGTGATAGTGGCAAGCAAAAGGTCGCGCGCGCTGCGCTGCGTATTTGGGAGGATTCCAAGTGGTCCAGCAGTGTGTATCCCCGCCGAGTGGATCGAAATTATGTTCGCCAGGGGATAGCCCGCGAACGAGACGCGCACACGACAAACGAGAGTGGTATTCGGGGCGAGCGAGCGATCGAACGCGGAGGAGGCAGGAGGAAGCTAGGAAAAAGGTAGTTTCGCAACTAGCAGCGCTTCGCGTAGAAGCGTCGCGACGACAATGACAACGCGCGTCGCCGAGTGAGCTTGGCTCCCCAACAACCAAGAGGATGCCACGGAGACAGGGTCGCTGCCGAATCGTACCGGGGCGACACGGCATCAGTGGGATCTAGAGAAACGTTTTCTGAGGAGAGCGAGTGGAGCAATCGGAGGGCGAGGGAGAAACGAGAACGAGATTATACACATGCCTTGAGTCCGAGAAAAATAGATCGAGGCATGATATAGAAGGTGGGAAATCAAACAAGAAAGAGTAAAAGTTAGAGAGAGAAAGAGAGAACAGCGAAAGGAAAATAGGGAAGAGCGAAAGACAGAACGAGGAGGAAGTTGTCAACGTGACAAGGAGGATCGCAGTCTTTCGGTTTTCCGAAGCTCGTCTCCGTGGGTGTTTTTACGCGTGCGGCCGTGGATCGATAGTTTGTCTCGCACGCTCGTGTCGAACGGGAGTTGCGAGTTACGACGGCGAGTTACGCTACGTGGAGGACGCGATCGCGAGCGGTCCTCTTTCGTTCGATAACAACGACACCCTCGAGCCGCGAGTAACGAGACCCGTGGGAGACGAGGAGCAAGTTTCCAAAGGGGCCTAGCTGGTGGTGGGTGCTAGTTATCGCGACAGTCGTCAACGTCGCAAAAACGCTCGGCGATCGCAAGCTCCGCGGTGATTTATGGGGGATTACAGCGCGACGAGCCTCTTCTCGAGTACCCTGACCAGCCCGAAACCTAGTACGACCACAAGCAACATCAGCAGCGCCGCCGTCACCATAACGACATCCACGATGCAGGACGATCTACTGATCGAGAAGCAAACTACTGGCAAGCCCGCTCCGCTCTCGCCGAGCGGTGGTCTCGACACCGTGGCTGGACAGGACAAATCGAAGGACGTGATCGAGGCGGAGAACATCGCCATTACCCCGACGACGCCCTCGTCGACAGAAAAAGACATCACATGCAGCACGACATCAGCTTTGCAGGGCTTCGCTGATCCCGGTGGCCGTGTACCCAGCCTCTGGTCCGCGCCCGATGACGGCGGTCTGCACCCCGCGTTACCAGTCAATGGTTCGCGGTGCCGCCGCTGCGGTTTCGACCGGCACACGACGTGCCATCACGGCCAGTCACAATTTTCCGCAGCAGCAACAACAGCACGGTAACGCGGGTGCGCCCACCGGCACCAGACACGGCGGTCTGCAGGTGTCGTCCGCGCAGCAGCAGCAGCAGCAACAGCAGCAACAACAACAGCAGCAGCATCAACAGCAGCAGCAACAACCTCCGCCGACGTCACACCCAAGCGTCTATCTGCCCGGCAAAGGATACGCCGCGTGGTCAGGCGGACCGCAAGCTCCGCAACAATGGGGCGCGGGCCCGCAAGCGGCCGCTGCTGCCGCAGTCGCCAGTCCGGGCCTGTCTCCATGGAACCGCGGTAGATCCGTACCTAATATACCACCGCTGCACTCGTCTTTGCACGCCGCCGCAGCGGTTGCGGCCGCAGCCGGTCTGCAGGGTCGCAAGCCGAGTCCGACGTTCCCGGGCCATCCGGGCCCGGCAGCGGCGCATCCCTCCTGTATCAGCCCGGTCAAGTTCCGTCGAAGCACGTCGTATCCCGGCAAGGGCAACATATATCCACCTCAACCAGCACCGACCTTCGAGGTAACCGCCGCCGAGGAGAGGGATCTGCTGCAGCTGCCACCGTTTCAGCAAGTGAGTCTTCTAATTTTTTCTTCAAGTTTTACTAGTTGAAGTTAAGTCGCGTTCAGAAACTTCAGTCGGTTATATTCAGATATCATTTTACTCTTGTTTGTTTTGTAAAAATATCGAATATTAAGCAAGGATCAAATAATATTTGAATGCATCCGGGTGAAATTTTTGAACGCTATCCTAGTATTTATAGTTCTTTCGGTTTTTATTTCAAGATCATCTTAAGTAACGTAAGATTAAGATAATGCTAATAGCACAATGCTAATGCTATCTGATGCTTGTAGCATCTTAAGACAATCTTAAGTATAAGATTCCAGATGAATACCGTCCTACATGAAATTTAGGAAGCTGGGCTAGCGCTTAGAAGTTATGCTGATCTAACCCACTTTTTTACACAACTTTAAGAAATAAATGCGAGAGTTGAGATTTAATTTAATTGGTGGGATATCTGATTTTTTTGCAACTTTAAAATTCCTCACGTTCCAAACAAGTAAACTGGAGCATTGCCGCATCGAACACTTCGATTTATTTATCTCCGAAATGAATCACGCTTTTAGAATGAAGCACTTTTGTAAAGACGAATAGCACCATTTGGTTGAATGCCAGGTTTTCCGAAAGGGATTTTTAACTAACCGATTTTCTACCTTGTCCATGCGAAAAATCAATCACCTCTGATTGGTTAATGGATAAGTAAAATCAACACCGCTGATGTTATCATTATCGAGTAAATTAGCAATTCGTTTTCGTATAAAAATATCACGTTATTAGCGACGTGCTGATAATTACGCTCACACAGCCGTCAGCTAGATTGCGTTCTTTTCTCTACACGCTATTCGCGTCGATTGGTTGCACAGATCACGAGTAAAAGAAGGGGAACTCGGGACGACCACCGTTTGTTGTTTTACTCGACTCGCGGGCACCGATGGCACGGACTCGTTGCCTCGACTTTTTTTCACAGCCGAGTGGCATCGCGTTATCGATCGCGGTTGAAGCAGGTAGTATAGCCAAGGGTACTCGCTTGTAAAACTGCGCCGGCAATCATGCGGTCTCTTAGGCCGTTGTGGAAGGTAACGCGCTATGCTTCTACTTCCGCAGTTTCGCGTTCTTTTGGTACGCCACGACACCGTATCGCATGCGTTACTCGTGTCACTTCGGGTTATGCAACTGCTCCTCGAAAACGAGAGAGAGAGAGAGAGAGAGAGAGACTTTGTGCATTTAAATTTAGCCGGCACAAACGGCTGTTTCGGTAGTTGTACAGCCGTGACATCGTCGTTTTTAACGACGCGATAATGTCGTACCGGACTTAGGTCGTAAATGTACGTGGCATGCTGCGGTCGTACCGCTTAGAGACCCTATAAAGCCGGATCTACATAGGACGCAAAACGCGTGACGTATTTTCGCTTACAGAACGCAAAACGCGAAAGTTAAAGTTCATCCAACTTCAGTGCGTTCTGCGTTCTGCTTACGTCTTACAGCTTATTGCGATCTGAAATATATCACATGCGTCTAATTTTGCGACCTGCGACCTACGTTTTGCATTTTATTAAATCTGGCATACACACATCCAGGGAAAAGTTTCTCCAATTAAAAAAAAATTTGTTTGAATTAAAGGAATTTATGTATTACTATACGGTTAAAGAATAGTTTCTTTGATTTGAACATCATTTATTTCTTTATATGATTGTTACTATTTTGTTTGTTATTTACATAATTTGATATTGTTATATCCATGTTCTCAATAAAGCTATTATTATTAGGTATTATTTTTTGAAATTAAGTAAATTTGTATTTTTCTCACAGATATTTTCGGTATTTTCATTTTAAATGAACAACTTAAAAAAATCAACAAAAAAATGATTTCTTTAATCTAAACATAACTTTTCTCTGAATGTAATAGTGTCTAATCACAAGCGATTTTTTTAGAATTCTACGAAAGAGAAATATATATATATATATATATATAAATTTTTCCCCTATGTATGTACTATCTCACTCTACATATACAGTTTCATTCTATAACTTTAATTAAGAGAGATTATAGAGCAAGACAGTATAAGTTAGCGTAAGTAGTATATGTATATATATACTGTACATATTAAAAAATTATATATACAGAAGGAATTATAAACGAAGGATTTTCACAAAATTCTTTGTGATCAAATTTCGATAATAGGATCTTTAATACTAGCCGCAATGGCATCTACGGCGTGCGTTTTCCATCCACGAGGGAATTTTACGTGGTAGAATCCGGGTTATCTCTCACCGCGTGGCATTCTCGTCATTTCGCATATCTAGCCATGTGATAACGATATCTCACGTACGCTAGGTACTAAGGAAACTTACAGGTCGAAGCCGTATATCGAAAGTGTTCTGAGAGTCTTTCACTTTTCGGTGTAATCTCCGTAACACGTTACGTTCTGCACATGTGCCATCATTGAATAGCAAGTATATATAGAAATAGAAAAGGAATAGATAATGGAATGAATGGCGTGCGATGAAAATACAGGTCAGCGTTTTCCTCGATTATATATTTTTCCATACCTTCGTTCCATTTTCACGTCCAGCGTACAATGACGTTATATCAAATTTAATACGATATTGATCTTAAAACTAGAATTATATATATTTTGTGGTACAGTTAGCAAATGAATAAATAATCTCGTTAATATTATTCTGATTTCACATGACTATGAAGCTTAATTTAAATAAATTTAATACAGGATTGTTACGAAATACTGTTGATATACTCTTATTGGATAAAATTTATTTATATTATCGTTATCACTTTTATTCATTGTGCTCTTTGTGACAGATCTTTTTACATTCTATTCGAGATATTAGTAATTTTCCGTAACAATTTTACGGATTGCAAAATAACAGTTAAATAAAGAGAGTCGAAATTAGTTCACACAAAGTATGTCTTTATTAAATATATATATATAGAATATAACTTTTCATTTTTATTGCATTTGAAGTTGTTAAAAGACGAAAATGTTTGTTTTATCATAATTATTAAATTATCAAAAATAATGGTAATAGAGCATGGAAAAAAAACAAATATTCTTATTTAAAAATACATAATCATTACCCTTAAGACATCATTTCTAAGCAAGTACCTGTACCTTCCCTACAGTAGATAAGAGTTATCGAGGTTGCCATTAATAATCGATTTCACTTATTTTTTGTTATCTATCAGCGCTATCTGAAACTACTCCGCTGATACTTATTTTGTCGTTCAAGTCTGACCTAATTCCTTTCCGACGTGGTAACTCCGACAGTGTCTAGCAGAAGTTTAAGCTCAGCTATTTTAGCCACCACTCAAAAATAGATCTGCATACTATCCGAGAGAAATGGCGGGTGTCGTCATACTGTCGTTCAGCTATCATCTCCGCGCGTACCTTGTTTCAACATTTATATATTTATACACGGTACATCGCTTTCCTTTTCATCGCGACTTCTTAATCATGCCAAATAATGGTGCCTATTGTAAAGAATCGTGAAAAAAAAACAACTACAATATTTGAAGAATATCGCATGCCATTATAATAAAAAATGTCGATAATATTACGCTGTAAATGCCAATTGTGTAATATACCAATAGTATAATATAAATTTTTAAATTAAAGAAATTTCGAGATGTCTTTGCTGATAAAATATTTTAAAATTGCATATATTTTAATATATCTCTAAATACTAATTAATTCACTAATTAATCGGATTGAGCAGATTTTAGTAAAAGTGTTTTATGTAATTTTTTATCAAGATTCTATTTTTATTATTTGATGTTGATTGATAAGCATTGTTTCGATATTTTCATTTTTTTTTTTTACAATTAAAATATCAATTGCCTTTATGTTTATAAATTTTGTTTTTACTTTTTTAATCGTTTACACAAAAATTTGACATTTTGTTAGATTTATATTGATAGACATTATTACATGATTACGTATTAAGGAACGAACAGATGAACGCCGCATGTAGTATAAGACGTTTATCCATATCGGTAGCCTTAACATCGTTGATTTGACTGTACGTCGCCGAGAATAATTAGCTCGTATACAAACAAATCGTGAATATGACCTGCATACCCCGATTCAATTAAATACTACCTTCAATAGAAATTACAATATGTGATCTATGCGTCAACAGTTTTTAAAAAATTTTAATTACCATATAAAGACTATAATTTATCTTGTGGAGTTTCGTAGAAGACAATACAAGATTTGCGTGTATGACATTTTATTTATATATCTTTTAAAAGAATTTCTTTACTTTTTCTAATTTTAAATCTCTTTAAGATTCATAAAGAAAATTGGAATGTTACCTTTACGATTTATATGAAATACAATTCCTATTTATTATAAACAAATTCGAGTTCTGAAACACATAACTAAAACGTTTTATATCGATTATGAAACGGTACGATCGTAACCGATAATAACAGATATTAATGGAAGAAAACGCAAGGAAAAAAATACCGTTCTTCGCTCTTTCGTCGATTTTTCGATTTTTCGCCATGATTTCTCAATTTGCTTTGCGATATGACTGTATTCGAGCGGTCGATGAATAATATACGGGCACAAGTGTGTCGCGGATTAGAAGTCGCGCGCGCACGCGCGCAGGTAATGCGGCAAAAGCGTCTAACAGAGCGAAGAAATGCCTGAGCTCGAAGTCCGATAACTCATTGCTCGTCATTCACCTTGAGAGGGGAATCGGGGCACGTGCAGTAGGTCGCCTAGCCGATATGTTAAGAGGACCAATCGCCAGTGGATACCGATCACGCGTGTATGCGTGCGTGCACCCACCCGCCCCCACACGATCGTAGTTACGCTTGTGTCGGTGATCACATCGAGAAAAAAAATCGTAACGTGATGGATACGCGTATAGAGATAACGATTTTTTTACTACGCCGTCGCAGTTACGCTCGCTTTTTTCCTCGTGCGCGGTGAGCTCGTGAAAACGCCATTACGAAACACATAATTTGGAACGTGAGGAAACAGAGC